GAACTTATTATTACGGAGACAGGGGAAGCTGCTGTGAAGTCCTCTATATTAGCCAAAACACTGTATCATATAAGCTTAAGTCACATTATCATTAAATAATCAAACTCTATCTCCCAGTGAACTTCTTTCATTATGCACCTAATTCAGCCAAATGGAAGTTTACCCAAACGAAATACTGTAATTAGTGATGAAAAATTAGAGCCTACAGTATTTCACATATTATATCACAATCCACTGTATCAAAGGTAATGTTACCATCCTTGTAACAATGCCCTCTAAGTGAAATTTGCCTCTCCCCATTTTAATATTTTTAGGCATAAACCTCCCCCGTTTATATTTTCCAGACAGAAACTCACTTAAAAAACTGATAAAAAGTTGCATGAAGTAACTTAAATGTACTTACTTTATTTATATACTGTATGCCGCAAAAAGTTTGGTGACGATTTTCTCCCAGTGAAATTTGCCTCTATTCATTTTAATATTTCTAGGCAAGAATCTTGCCAGTTTATATTTTCCAGACAGAAACTCACTTATAAAACTGCAAAAAAATTTAATAAATTACCTAAAATGTGCTTACCTGATTAGTACCAGCGTTACTCAGATGGGATGACTCCAGCAACTTGCATTTGGCAATGACAGAAAGCACAGCTTTTGCAAATGTCATAATATGGGCCGTTAAACCAATACAGTACAGTAATGTAAAAAAAAAATAGATTTATAAAATTACCAATACGTGTGTCTTTGTACATTAATCGTATTGACTATAAATATTCAATAAACCTAAGAATATAATTATGAAGAGGGTGACGAAAAGCAGCTACTAGCTACCTCTTCAAATTTCAATAATATTAGTTTGTTTTCCCGCAACCACTCCTTCGTGCGCTGCAGTAAAAGGTCCTTCGCATTTAAAAATACGGTTTTTGACAAGGGAAGATGCTGTTTAATAATACGGCCATTACTATCTTAGAAAAGTACACCATGACTTCTTTCCACCAGTCCCAGCACTTGTTATAAGTTTTGCACATGCCCTTGTGAAGCATGTCAGTCAAGCTATCCCAGAGATCAAACTTAGACAGCTTTATCTTTTAGTTTTTCAGCTATGTAGCAGAATAAAGATGGAACTCTTGGAGAAGAGATTAATATACAGGTATAGTAAGATGAAAAATAGGGAAAATTCCATACTGTTACATGCATAGGTTCCACCTCACAATGTATGTTTCCTTCAGGAGGAAGAAAACTTCACTTTCACTGTGGCAGATGGCAGCATAGTCTGAGAGTCTAAATATATATACAGTATGTAATTAAAGGATTGTATCTTAAATTATTCTCCTCCCGTCTATAAGGTTACAACCAACCCCTTAAGGCCATCTCACACCAAAAGCTAAACTACGCACGTGTTCTCTGTGTTTTTTAACTGCTGCCACATACCTTCAGATTGTCAGGCCATGGATTTGTCTCGGCATAGCATTGGTCACACACATGCAGTACAAGTTTTCTCCTAATCCCAAGAAATGTGGCCAATAGTTGGTTGTGTGTCAAGTTTATCTTATTTTCACACAGTCTCTCACATTTACTTTTATTTCATATTGTGTGCCAGTGAAGACTCTGGGCTATGGGGGAACTGACTGAAAAATTCAGAAAACTGGAAGAATACAGAACAGTACAGGGATATACCAAGCGAGGACAACAAATACATAGTATATTCCCATGAAAAATAGAAATTGACAAACACGATGATTTTTTTTTTTTTTTAAAGTGCATGTCAATCTACTGGGAAACTTCTTCAAAGGCGACAAAACCTAATCAAGAGACCTTGCATGTATCTAGATCTGCTAATACTGTACTCCCTCCCCAACACCTCCTTTCAACTCTGCTGCATATAAAGATACAAATCCAACATTTGGTAATGAATGGTTATCTGGGCTACATAAAAAAATTTATTCCATACTGAATAATCATATACTGTACCAATCAAGAATAAAGAAAGTTTGGATATAACTATTTATTACTGACCTTAAACAAATAGTAGCCTTTCCTGGGGTGGTATTTCTTTCCTGTGATTTGTATCCATTTTCTTGACATCACTTTCAATGAGCAACAAACCTTTTTTGAACTGAGCAATGCTTAATCTAAAATACTGTCTGAATTTGTCATAATCACATGAAATTTCATTTATTAAATGATAGAACTCACCAAATTATTTTCTTTTCATATTTGTTTCAGGCATCCTCTTTTTCTAATTAAATCCTAAAGTGAGGACAGTAGTAATATGTCCTCATCATCTGATTAACCATCACACCACTGGCCACCTTGACTGATAAAATATAAGAAAAATGGCGTAGGTTTTGGTGTGAGATGACCTTTATAAAACCAACACCCACTACTGGTATCCTCCCACAAAGATTTCAGAAATCTAGAGCTTGAACATGACAGTGTCCACACAGCACAGTGAATGACAATCTACTTTACTTTGTTGTGACCAGACTCAAAGAGTTCATGGGTTGTGAAAACAGTTTAACTCGTTCCTTATTACATGGTTGACCTGGCAAGTGCATGTTAAACAGAATTATCAGAATATGCATTAAGCGAGGAAGTTAAATGTTAAGTAATATGATGGACGAAGAAAGACTCAAAATAGATAATATGTCATACTAATGGAAGATCGATACTTGTTAATGATTTTTTCATATATTTCCAGATATGAATATGGAAACATACATATAAAAAATATCTGGCTACATGCATTTGTTTATCTAAGGCAAGTTTGATTACAAATATATTTAAAAATTATCATAACATCACCTATGATTTCAGGGGTCATATTAAAGTTGGCATGATGATGTTTTTATAACTTTAGTATATGTGTGTGCAGTGATTTTTGCAACATATCTATGAGCCTAAAAATTATTGTGATACTGTACTTGTCAATTCCTCAACTAAAATATATCCATAACTAAATTCTCCCATTCCAGTGAAACATGGCGAGTCATCCATTATGAAGGTGTGTCAGTACTGTACATCGTCCACTGTACAAATTCACCGAAGTTCCGTTTGTGAATCATGTAAAAAGTTATATGTTTTGAAATTTCCTGAGCAAATTCAGTTCCAAAAGTGTCAGTTTAAAATAGTTAACAGTGGGCTAAAAACTTTGCAGAACTACAGGTACTGTTTTATAATATACTGTACTAAATGATGGCTGTATTGGTAGAAAAAATTACTTTAGTATTTTTTTACTGTAATCAGTAGAGAGCAATGCTTAACAAGCATAAATAAATAGAAAAATAAATGAATATTAATAGTGCACAAACTTTATAAATTTGTAAATGAAATATGTTCATCGTAGAGCTCTACAAACTTGCTTTGTAATGGTGATGTAAGTGCAGTACTAAATGTTATACAGCAATCATTTTCAAAAATATTTGTGAAAAAAAAAATATATATATACAGTAGTACCCCGCTTAACGCGGTCAATTGAACCCACAGGGTACCGCGTTAAGTGAAAACCGCGTTAAGTGAACAACAGAACATATGGGATTAATTCCAATAGAGACTGGCCCGACCCCCAAACTCCACTTTTTGACGACACACAACTATGTTGTAGTAAAAATTTTATCTTAACTTTATGATGGTATGCACACACAATTAATAATTAAGAGAAATATCAATAATATTAGGTTTTTTAACACTTGCATTAGTAGAAAAGATGGCTGGGCACATGGGGATGGGGGGTTGGTTCCGAGGCAGAGGGCAGATTATTGGCCCTCACCTGTATCACTTGTATCAATTGTATCACTATCCACCACAGAGGCTTGCAGGGCCTCTTTGTCAAACCCCTCAAAGGCCATATAAGTCCATATCCTCACTATAATTATCACTATCACTGACTTGGGCTGGCTGTGGTGGGTGAAGAACTCGGTAATGTTTTGATGACTGGGCGACCTTGTGCGCATCGTGCCCGCGCCGCTTCCCGCGTATATGATGAAAAATTCCGCGTTAAGTGAAAGTTCAGCTCTGGCGAGGGACCGCGTATATGATAAAACGCGTTAAGTGAAACCGCGTTAGGCGGGGTAATACTGTATATATAATAAAAAAAGCATCATAAATCACAATTGTTTGTAAACATAAGAGGGCAGCGGCTCACTGTTAGTGCTGCACCCAAGACTTACTTTGGTTACTGGAGGGCGGCTGGGCGATCCCACCCCCAGACCTCCAGAATGGTAAGATGTTTGAAGAAAATGTGTGATTATCTCACACATGACAGGTTTTCTCCAGGTACTCCAGTTTCCTCCTGTTCTAACACTGGACAAGGAAGGCCATAACAAGGAACAGACCAACCACCGGAATAGCCAGTAAGCTGATAAGTGGTGAAAATGATAAATTAAATTAAATTTAAAATATTTCTCCTCCAAACAGCTCAATGCTGGTACAGTAAAACCTCGATTAACCGACCACATATGGGGGGAAGGGGCCGACAGATAATCAAAAAGGTCGGTTAATAGTACATAAAGTCTACAGAAATAAAACATACATTTTCAAAGTACCTTTCCCTAACCTACCTCATTTAAGTCCCTCTATTCATTTTTGTTCATTTGCCATTCATATTTCAATAGAATTTGCTTTAAAACATTAACCACTTTAGTAAATAAATATGAACCAGCACAGAAACCGTGAATAAAAAATGGAAAAGTCGAAGAATATGTCATCACAAAAATTGTGACCAAGTCCCAGGTTGCTGATCTGACTTTCTGCCTCATTTACACACAACTGCAGGGTCTCAATTGTTTCTCTTACTATTGACAACACAACATACATACAGGTACATTGTTTCTAACTCTTGATTTTTTCATTTTTGCATTTCTTTATGGTTCTTTATTACTATTATTATTAGCATTATCATTATTAATATTATTACATTATCGCCCCCCAGGCCCCGATGTGGGTCAGTGACCTGTGCCCGGGTGGGCTAATCCCCGCATTTTTTGGGGGAGGGGGGTTGTTCGAGATTGACGGTTAATCCGAAAGTCGGTTAATCGAGGATCGGTTAATCGAGGTTTTACTGTATTCTTAAAACACTTTTTCCATTGTGTATATTTGATATTACTTTACCATTAACTCTTACTCCTTCAGTGTCACTTATAACTTCCCTCGTGAAGAATTCTGAATATATATTATATAATGTTGGAGATATAACACGGCCTTTTCTTACTCCCTTCCTGACTTTGAACCAATTACTGTAGTAAGTTTATTATTTACTAACACTGCAACCTCCTGTTGCCAGTAAAGATGTTTTAGAACTCAAATATCACCTACATCAATGCCAATTTTTTCTAAGACCTCAATAAGTTTAATGTGTTTGTTAATAAACCATTAAATATTATAATTATTATTATTTTTACACACACACACACACACATACATACACACACACACACAGGTTCAAAACACAACACTGTACCAACTTTAATCCCCTCAACACTTTCTTTACTACAAACTAAAGTGGTGGTAGAAACACACACTTCTGGTCTGAGGTAAAGAAGGGATTAACCCTTTAACACCAATTTATGGCTTCAAGTTCGTTATTGCTTGTCTATTAATATAATAAATTTTAGTAAATTTTTTGCAAATATCATCTGAAAAAAATATTAAAATACACACAGGATGATATGTACTGCTAATAACTATAAAACAGACTTGCCCATACAATCTGCCTGCAGTGAGATTTTGTTTATACTTGTACATGGATAGAACAATACAATTTTCCAGATTGTGTATGAATATTATAATAAAATTTCTTATAAAACCACGACTCTTTCATTATAGTGTACTGCTTTGGCATTTTAAATCATGTAACGTCACATATGACAGTCATCTCGTACGGCTTCTCTCATCTTTAAGTTATTTCAAGCCATGAATATGATCCTGCTGATGTTTCCTGCATCTAAATATAATAATCAACAATTATATATCTAATCGTTGTTTATATGAGGCACTCAAAAAAATTTTCTTCTTTACTCAGTCATGTAAATGTCATCACCGTCCCTTTAATTGTAAACCCTTATACGTACAGTACAACTCAGTAACCTTGAACCTACAGCCAGGCTCATGAGAGCCATCACTACAGCTGGTACTTGTCTTATTAACTTTCTAATGGTTATTTCAGCTTTCCTATCCTTTTCAGCACCTTTTTTTACATTTTAGAAAGGAAGAAAAATAATATATAGAAAAGGAAAGATTGTAAAACCCATCCAATTCCCTTGAGTTCACTTGGTAATTCAATTTATAAGTTCTTTATAGATAATTCAATTAAGATCCAAATTCTGACGTCTTCTTATATTTTCAAAGGCTTTATTATAAACTATATTTGATTCACCCCAAAACTGTGCTGTTCTTGTAACCAAATAAAAAAAACCTCATATTGCAGCATGAAATAATTCTCAACCTTCAAATAACAACAGCATACGTGAATTTATGTAAACATTTCTAGTAGTATTGTACCTACGCTTAAATTTAAAAGAATTCACATGATCTCAAGCAATTTCCTTGTGAAATTAACACGACTTCAGACCTAATGGAAAATGTAGCATTGCCCATTCTCATATAAAAAATTGAGCAAAATTTATTACTAAGAATCCTTTTCATAATTTTCCATGAAATCAAGAGGAGGCATTTCAAGGGGTGCAAGGTCAGGAACACTAGGAGGGTCTGGTGAGAGCTCACTGAGTGGAGAAAACACAAAAGGTGAGCAGCTGGAGTCTGCCATCGCTCTCATCCGCCGCCGCTCACTCTCGTACTGCTCACACTTGGTTTGTAACTCACGAATCTGTAGAAAAAACTCCAATGTCACTAAATATCATTATCCAGCACGTAATAACAAGTCTTTACAACAGAGCCAAACTAATAGGTACCAACACTTCCTTAGGAGAACTTTGAGAAACCTCTGGACTGCAACATCATTACAGAAGAGGATATCAGAGAACAGGTCGTGAAGATCAAGGTTAATAACTCCCCAGGTCCTAATAAGCTCCATATTAGATTACTGACATGAGTACATGCTGCTAATAACAGATATCACTCAGTAACAGTAAACCATAAGAGAAGTGGAAACCTACAAAGGCAACTACTATAAAAAATAAAATGAAACAGGAAAATGGCCGGTAACTCTAGACGTGTGACTGTGAATATAACAGACAGCACTTACACAATTATGGAATCCATTGGAAGAAATTGGAGAAATCTACTGAACTATAACTACTGAAAGTGCTGTACAAATGGAGAGAAATACTTGACAAAGGGACATTAAATATGATTTACAAGGATTTTATTTTTGCTTTTGATATGATTTTGCACTGGGCTGGCTTGGTAATTTTAAGACTTATTCTTCTGTAATTTCTGTTTATAATCTGATCACCTTTCCCATTATGTAAGAAAACTATACATGTTTTCTGTCATTCTTTTGGTACTCTTAACTCCCTTGTCAAGGTCTGAAGTTACTAAGAGCTGTTAGAAGTTATATTACATCAGCAAAAAATTATAAGGCTTAATTTAAAACCAACATATACAAAGGTTTATAAAGATATACAATGTCAAAGGTGTTAGGGCAAGACTTTCCTTGTTGTTACACTCTACAGTATACTGTACAGTAGCTAAAACAACTACTGTACAGTAGCTAAAACAACTATCTCTGCAGGTGGGGGTCGATATGCATCGAAATTTTACGTGTGACTAGTGACAGCCCTCATATACCAAAATTTATCGTCCATGGTCTCGTATTGTTTCCCACAAAGTATGCACAGATAGTTGTTTTAGCTACTGTACATACAAACCTCCACCAACAATAAAGGTGTACCTACTTGGCTCTTTAACAGGACATTTTCCTTTTCCATGTATGATAGTTCTGTCATAAGCTGAGTTATAAGGTCAGCCTGATGATCACGTAATGTGCGAAGTTCTTCAACAATTATCATCACGTCCTTCTCTTTTTTTACCCCTATAAGAGTACCCTCAGTCTTTGTTGTTTGGTCCTGTATCTCTTTCTCAGTGGGTGAAGTACTTCTTCCTCCTCCGCTGGCAGTTTTTACTGTTACCTCTTGTGTTTCTTTTAATGTTTCCTTCATATCACCTGCAATCTCCGCTTTCTTTTCTTGTATGGTCTTCTTACTTTTACTTTCCTCCGCATCTGTTTCTTCTGTAGACGTCTCTTCTGGTATCAGCAGACTAAGCAATGAATCAAATTTCTCTGTGTTCCTGAAACATAAACATAATGGGAGTGAACTAAAATTGCACGCCAAAAACTAGCAAAAAATGTGTACAATGTATTCAGTCTAAAAACAACAGAAGAGTGGAATTGGGAAAATAAAACCTGAAATTAGAAAGCATGAGAAAACAAAACAAAACTGGGTTTGGGGACTACAACGGCCAAAACTTATACAGTCGGCCCTTAACATACGCGGGTTTAGCATACACGGATTTGCAAATACGCGGATTGCCCCGCCGGAGGAATATTCTGAACATTGAAGTAATTGAAGAACATTCAAATCGCGCGCCATTCAACTTGCGCGCGGCACCGAACACGGGACACCGCCCGCTCCAGCAACCTCACACACGCACACGCATAGCTCTCTCTCACTCAGTCAGTCTCGCTGTAACCACGCTTGTGTTGACATCAGCATTGTAGTTGCAAAAATATTACATTTCAGTGAATGTATTATATCAAGCACAGTATGAATAGAATATCACTAATATAACAGTATTTTAACCGAAAACTATTAAAAAAACGAGTAACATTTCTTGAACATCGGAAGGTTAGGTAAAGTCTTTTGTTTTCATGTAGTTTATCTTAATTTACATTGAAATACATTACGTTTCAGCAAAACTACTATTTATTTCTGAGAATATGGAAATGTAATATTTCTGCTGAAATGACGTATGTATTACAGTGGAAAATGACGAAAACAATGACTTTCGCTTTCTTTCGTTCAAAAGATGTTACCGTAATCGCTTTTCGAATGGTTTTCAGTTAAAAAACTGTTTATTACAATAATATTCTATCCTAATTCACTTGTGATGCAACATTTTTTTTAACTGAAAACCATTCGAAAAGCGATTACGGTAACATCTTTTGAACGAAAGAAAGCGAAATTCATTGTTTTCGTCATGATTTTATCCCACTTTCCACTGTAATACGTACGTCATTTCAGCAAAAATATTACATTTCTGTGAATTTAGTTCTATATCAAGCACAGTATGAATAGAATATCATTGTAATATACTGTAACAGTATTTTAACCGAAAACTATTAAAAAACGAGTAACATCTCTTGAACATCGAAAGGTTAGGTAAAGTCTTTTGTTTTCGTCATGTATTTTATCCTATTTTGCATTGAAATACAGTGAACCCTCACTTTACGCGGTTAATTCAACCCACGGCGACCCGCGTAAAGTGAGAAACTCGTAAAGTGAACAACATAACATATGGGATTAATTGAAACAGAGACCGGGCCGACCCCCAAACTCCACTTTTTCCCGACACAATACGTACGTTTTACTAAAAATAACATCTTAACTTTATGATGGTATTCACCCACACATAATATAGAAGGGAACAGTCAATAAACTGAAGGTTAGGTTAGAAAAAACAAGGTTGGGGTTAACACTTACGTTAGTAGAAGAGATGGGTCGGCGTACGGGAATGGAGGCTGGTTCCGAGGCAGAGGGCAGGCTACTGGCCCTCAGGTGAGTCACCATCACTGTCATCCACACTTGTCAGGGCCTCCCTGACAAATCCCTCAAAGTCATCATCACTGTCTCTACCTCTGTCACTATCACTGGCTTGGGCTGGCTGTGGTGGGTTGCGGGCGAAGAACTCTGTTATGCTTTGCTGACGGCTGGTGTTTATGTTGTCGTGATAAACCTTGATGTAGGGCTCCATAGTCTGCAACAGCTGGGTAGTGAAGATTTCATACCTGTTTGCGTCAGGGTCGTCGGAAAGGAGGAGCTTGGCTTTCTCGATACACTCGATGGCACCCCTAACATTACTATGGGATAAGCGGCGTTCTTCTTGGGATGACGCACCACCTGCCTCTTCACTGACGTCATCATCATCTACCATGTCGTCGGTAGTCACATCAGGATCCCTTATCACCTCCAGGATGTCATCGTTGGTGGTCTCGGAGAAGCCTGCAGCTGTAACACTCTGCGCAGCTTCTCTGGCAAGGTCCACTGCTACTGCAACAGTCTGAACCTCACCAGTCACAGATTGACTCTGCCTAACGCCCGGAATGCCTTGCAACACGTCTCCATGCGTGACGAACAGTTGCCTCCACCAAGAAGTCCACAGCTTTCTTGACGTTGAATATTCTCCAGAATTGTTTTAAAAGTACTTCTTGCTCTGCCAACTGTTGATCCTCGTCGTCTTCGCTCTTGCTATCGGTGTTGGTGTCACTCAGGTTACGCAACTCTTCCCTGGTGTTGGTGTAGTCGTTCAGGAGCTTGAATTTTTTAGTAGAGAATGCAGCTTTTACATTACAGATTAACTCTTGGTCCATGGGCTGTAATATAGACGTAGTGTTGGGAGGAAGGAAGACCACTTTTACGTTGGGGTGACGATCTAACAGTAGGGGCGAGTGTCCTGGTGCGTTGTCCAGCAGCAACAAAATCTTGAATGGCACATTCTGTTGCTCACAGAATTTCTTCACATCGGGAACGAAACAGTCATCAAACCAGGAGAGGGACAGTGTAGAGAACATCCACGCCTTACGTGCGGTCAGCCAGTGGACATTTAGCTTGGTCATGTCCATGCTCTTGTAGGCGTGCGGCTTGCGTGCTGTGTGGATCACCGATAACTTGAGCTTACAGGTACCGGAGGCATTGGTGGTAAACAGGACGGTGATGCGCTCCTTCTGCATCTTCTGGCCCCGAATATTGCTGGCATTCTTCACAACGAAGGTCTTGGAAGGTAGCTTTTTCCAAAAAAGACCAGATTCGTCCGTGTTAAACTCCTGGTCGTCGGTGTACTGTCCTTCCTCCATAATCTCACGTAAAAACGGAGGAAATTCCCTAGCCGCAACACAGTCAGCACTAGCTTCTTCACCACCAATGTTGATATTGGTGATTTTGTTCCTCTTCTTAAACCTCTGTAACCACCCAGAGGAAGCATTAAAGGGTTTGGGCTCTGTAATTCCTATCTTTCGTGACACTGCAGCATACAGTTCACGTGCGTACTCCTTAACTGAGCGCGTGTCCACCGCCATGTTCCGTCGCGCCTGACGCACCAAGTAGCTCACAAGTAATTTTTCCGTCTTGAGAAGCACCTGGTTGTGGAAATGCTTGATCATAGAAGCACCTGTAGACTTTGTGATGTTCATGTGCTCCTTTATCTTGGCTGCATCCTTCTTAATTGTCCTGAGCGTAGACTCGTTAACACCATGCTGGTGCGCGAGATCAACCTGTCTTGTTCCTTTCTCCAACTCTTGTATGATCTTATACTTAATTTCGTAGCTTTAGGAACTTCGTGTCTTCTTTGGCTTAGGGCGGCTGGGTCCAGGTAAGGAAAGGTTTCTCTCTGGGGGCGGTGGTCCGGCGGAAGCCATTTTACAGAACAATGGAATCACGTATACACGGTGTGGCCTGGAGGGATGAAACTGCCGCGGCTAGGTCAAGCGTCGTCTTTCCTCCCTCCCTCCCTCCCTCCCGCAGGCGGACACGTCATATTACTTTAAACCAATCACAGCTAGCAGCGGAGGGTGGTAAGGATGCATGGCCCAATTACAGTCCGATACGTCATATGACGTCACTGATAACGCAACAAAGACACACACTGCGCAACCTACTCGCGCCGCTTACACAACATGACGGATGGCGGGAGAGGGCGGGAGGGATGGCGGGAGGTTTGGATCCAAAAATGGCGTGGCTCGCCAGCCGCTCTCCGCGTAAAGGGGTACACGCACCGTGGAAAGTGAGCATTCCGGTTTCGGCAGGGTACCGCGTAAACGTGGAAACTCGTAATGTGGGACCGCGTAAAGCGAGGGTTGGCTGTACATCACGTTTCAGCAAAACTACTATTTATTTCTGAGAATATATTCAATCAGGCGCAGTTTAGGTAAAATATACATGTGATGTAACATTTTTTTAACTGAAAACGATTCGAAAAAAACGTACCCTCTAGCCCTGTTCAAAGAGAAGACTGGGAAGAGCTGTTTGGTGCTTAAGACGATGACAAGGAAAATGATTTTGATGGATTTTAATGAAAATATTCAGAAATATGGTATCGTAGTATTTATTCAAGTGAATTAGGATAGAATATTATTGTAATACAACAGTAGTGACGATGTGGAGGAGGCAGAGGGATAGAGCGGGATGAGTGGTGAGTCGGTGACTGGCGGGAACAGGGAAGAGTGGAGATGCCAGCCAGTACATTACGGGTGTACAGTATTATTTGTTTTTATAGCTCTTTTTGCATTTTAATATTAAATACTGTACATTATGTTTCAACAAAACTACCATTTATTTCTGAAAATATGGAAATGTAATAATTTTGCTGAAATGACGTACGTATTACAGTGGAAAGTGGGATAAAATTATGACGAAAACAATGACTTTCGCTTTCTTTCGTTGTCCAAAAGATGTTACTGTAATCGCTTTTCGAATGGTTTTCAGTTGTGGGATTATAAGGCTAATGATAGGATAGAATATTATTGTAATACAGTACGAGTACAACAGTTTTTTAACTGAAAACCATTCGAAAAGTGATTACGGTAAAATCTTTTGGACAACGAAAGAAAGCGAAAGTCATTGTTTTCGTCATAATTTTATCCCACTTTCCACTGTAATATGTATGTCATTTCAGCCAAAACATTACATTTCCATATTTATTTCTGAGAATATATTCATTCAGTCACAGTTAAGGTAAAATATACTTGTGATGTAATATTTTAATGAAAATACGGTATCGTAGTTTTCTTTTGTTTCAAATTTAATTTACAGATTGATGTTTCGAATGTAATGAACAAAAATTTATGTACAGTATCTATAAATAAACTTAAAAAAATGAATACAGTCAGCCCTTAACATACACGGGGGTTACGTAACAGAGATACCCGTGGATGTTAAAAATCCGTGTATATGTGCTGCCCTCCCCCCTCCCAAAAAAAAACCTGGTCCCCCCATGTCCTTATTTACCGTATATACCTGTGTGTAGTTCAAGTTTTTAAGACCAAATTATTTGGCAAAAAATTGGGGGTCGACCTC